TCATAAATATCTCCATAACCATAGATTTTATCAAAAAAATTTACAGAATCATTTTTATAGAGATTCCACATTACTTTAATATTATATTAAACAATCTTTGCGAAAAACCTTTTAGTGTTTGAGATATTCTTAAAAAACAAAAAATATCATTTTTCTGTCCTTCTCCTCTCCCCTAATCAAAACCCGACGCGGTATTCTTTGGTACTTTTAATAAACAACTTGGGACAAGTTTCATCTTTATTTTTTTTAATATGGGGTCAATTCCTAATTTAACAGGACTTATGGCTTCTAACCGAGCTCTTTTACAATATTCGTGCTAGGGATAGGGTGTGTGATTTGGATGAGACCTTGCTCATGAAAAAATCGTTAGGGATTAGATTATGGTTAAGGTCATTATGCAGGGTTTTTTTAGTTGCATAGAAGGGAGCATCGACTGTTCTTCGGAAGACTTTGGTCTGAAAGGATTGGTAGGGAGACTTAAGGTAATATTGAGATTATTGTGGAATCGTAGACCACTTATTCTTATGCCATAATGGACATGGAGCCCGATGTTTGCTATGAAGATAATTTAATTACAAGCCGCTGATAGATAGCGCAAGATGAGATCAGAAATCGAACGGGACCAAGGATATCTGCTGACATAACAGGCAGCAGGCTTCATGGCCGCGCCTCTCCAACAGGTCGGACCACCCCGGCATCTTACCGCAAGGTGGCATTGCGAGGGGCTCCTTAGATCCATCAAACAATAATAAACACAAGTGGGAATGCGGGTTGAGCTTAAAGGTTAAACAAAAAAGTACATTACGCTCTGATTATTGAGTGATTTATGAAACAAATCTGAAGAGATAGTTAAGGTAGTATTATAAATATTAGAGAGCTTTATGTAATATAAACGAGTTCGACAAATTGAACAGGATTTGGACTAAGTTCCATAAACACAGAACATTCTCAACCTTATTCTATTTAAGTTTTGAATGACACTCAGTAGCTGATCCGGGATTTAATTTGTGTGTTCATTGAATGACAAAAGATAAACAAAACAAATCTTTTAAGTCCATATATTAGTATAAAGTTCAAAAGTATAGTAGATAATATATATGCAACATAAACCTTAAGTGTTTGGAAATACGTACTCATATAATGAAATCATATGGTCACAGACTATGCTAAAACTAAGGTGTGTGCTATGGACCACACGCTAGAAGTGAAAACATAAACAAGGTGAGGTCAATAATATGAAATTTACATTATAAATAGGAACTCATTATAAAGAGGATGAAATGCTGATCATTTCTCTCGCTTAAATTAAGCAGGTCAGATTTTAAGTTTCCGAGATATTTTAATCCATATCTTGTTGGGTTTCGACACAATTTTTCCCTATGAACAATGATGCTTTAAGAGATAAATTTCTTTTACTTTTTCTTGACAATTGCTTACGTTATGTAGCTGAATATTACGCACAATAATTTAAAAATATAATATATTATAATTGTTTAAGTACTTAACTTAGATCACTCACATAAACAAATATGGACTAATAGAAAAAAATATATATATTTGTACATTTTGGAGAAGCTTCGGTCCGAAAGTATCCCCTCCTACCGTTGATTCGCCGATAATGGCACTCATACAAATTTAATTAGCAATTGAAAGAATAAAATCATAATTGGAAATTTCCAGAACCTTGTTATATTCATAAAAATCAAAGAATTTCTAACTCGCCACAGGAAATAATTATTTTCAATTGTTCAATTCTGTTAAGTTTAACGACAGTTATCAACTATATATTTAAACGTTTATTTTTATCTAAGTTCAAATGATAAAATGTAATATAAGGAGCAGAACCCTAAGGCGAACTATATAACCTAAGAATATCTCACATCAGTATTCCAAAAAAATCAATATCAATACTCAGCCTTTATAATAATTTGGAAAGCCCTTAAAAATACTTCGATTAATTTCTGTGATGGGGCCTCGTTATCCGAAACTGAAAAAAATTAAAATCCTATAAACTCTAAAATACCATCCTGACGCTCAATATAAACTAATATTGCATTAAAACTATACAATGTATGAATAGGATAATATTATAATAAGAACAGGTGAAACCGTGGAAATAAGTGCATTCAGAATCAATGTGGCTTACATTATTATAGTAATAAAATAACCAACTAAAATGTACAATCCGCCTTCCTCAATGGTAATTTGACCATCTCATATGTTAATATTATGACAAGTAAAAATGATAATGAAAAAAAATACATTGAACAACGAGCTGAAGTATTTCTTGAGGTATTATTAATAAATAAGTGAACCAACGTATAAATAAGTGAAAGAGAAATAATCTCCTTGTCGTAGGGAAACATGTATATGCATGGTTTATTGTTTACATTGTGTTTGAAAAATAATTTTCGCCCTGGTTACATATCGTGGAAAATGTAACGAGAACGGAAAAAACAGCGAAGGTTTCTCACGGCTGTCATGGAAATCTGTTCTCGTTTCCCAGAAGAAAGAAGACCAGGAGATGATACCCTAATGGCCTTTGGTGAAAAGCTTTTTCAGTGCTATATCTGTCCGACTTACGAGTCATGTCAATGTATTGTCAATTTTATAATGGGAATTCCATTATTTATATAAACATTGGGTAACATTTATTATTAATTTTAAGCCAAAAAAGTTGAAATATTGAAACCAAAATATTGCGATATCATATATAGAGTAATAAACGAATATACACGGACAGGCAAAAAATACCACCCACTTGATTTTTTCATGTTTTCACCTAAAAATATTTCTGCTTTGGATTGGTCTATTGTTTTTAATGACTAAATAGATAATCTTTTTGTTTGTTTTCAATTAGGAATGTTAATATAGAGGACAATAACCCTTAATCCTTAATTCAATGAAATGATTCTAGATTCCAATGTTTCCAAGATTCCAAAACGAACCATTATTATTCTAAAAGAAATTAATTACATCATCGTTTAGTTGCGAGTGTTTCCTCCTCTTGCCTTCACTACTTCTTAAAGACGCCTCGGCATGCTTTCCACCAGTCGGGAAATGTCCCTTTGCTGGAGGATAGCCCGTTCCTCCCGAAGAGCCCTTTCAAGATCCTGCAGTGTATCAGGAAGTGTTGCACGTGCTCTAATTCGTCTTCCGAGGTTATCCCATAAATGTGTTCTCGAGCAAAAGCCAGCCGTGTTACTCTGTGAGTTCTGGTCAACTCTGGTCCTCCTACTGGACGAAAAGCCATTAATCCATACACATTTAATCTTCTCCGAGCGGTACTTTCAGAAATTTGCACACCTCGAACTTCTTCGAGCTGATGAATCGCTTGAACAACGGTAAGGTGCCGGTTTCGTAAAATTCTCAAAGTCAAAAACCGGTCATCCCTTGGCTCTGTTACCCTAGGCTGTCCAGAACCGGGCCTTGTATTGTAAGAACCAGTTTCTCGAAAACGCCTGACGGCGTCTCGTAAAGTTTCATATGGAACTCCGATGGCATTAGCTGCTTATCTAATGGAACGACCATTATCAATAAGTGCCACACCACGCGCAACATCCTCAGCACTGAGAGGCATTTTTAAACTTAATATTGAAAAAATTAAAAGCCGGAGACTAAGAAATGTGCTGCAAGAAACGGCACTGAACTAATGATACTGAATAAACATCTTGATTCCATAGAAAGTAAACATTGGAATCTAGAATCATTTCATTGAATTAAGGATTAAGGGTTATTGTCCTCTATATTAACATTTCTAATTGAAAACAAACAAAAAGATTACCTATTTATTCATTAAAAACAATAGACCAATCCAAAGCAGAAATATTTTTAGATGAAAACATGAAAAAATCAAGTGGGTGGAATTTTTTGCCTGTCAGTGTATATTAAAAAAAATTGAATTGTTACAATAATTAATTAATTCTATTTGTATCCATTCTCTCTCTCTCTCTCTTCTCTCTCTCTCTCTCTCTCTCTCTCATATATATATATATATATATATATATATATATATATATATATATATATACGATGTTCTGTAAGTAAACAGAAATGTTTAAATCAGTGGTTGAAACTTTTATATGGAAAAAGTTTTTAAAGTAAAAGTTTCTTTTTCCGTTTCAAGCCCTGGTTTAAACGGGTGATGGCCTACTGAACAGCTACAAAAGAGTTTATTTATATAAACAATGGTTCGATTTTAGTAGAAAAGAAGGAAATTATAGTTCCGTGATGTTTTAAGTAAGACACGTTATTTTTTTTTTATTGAAAATATTTAATTTAAGTAATTAGCAATTTTTTCATAGTAAACTAGGCAACATTTACTTTAACCGATAGAATAGTTCATTGTTAAGACTATTTACAGAAGACTTTTGAGCGGCTAAACTAAGCGAAGTTTCAATTTAAAAAAAAAAATATGAGTTATTTGCAATTTGTTATTAACATTCTCCGACTAAACTACAAATATCCAACTTTTAGAAAAACTTCCAATGTTTAATGAGCTTAAGGTCCGTATTAATTAAGTTGAGGTTAATTACGAAATAAGTTGATATGCACTTCAAATAGTCTAAAAAAGATATATGATTTCTTATCCTGTCATCTAAAAGTGCTTGTGCTTTTCAGTAAAAATGATACAATAAATTTTTGCAAAGCTTCAATTTATTTTATTTTTCCTAAGATGTCCCCTAAATGTCCTAGGATGTTTTACAATAAACATAAAACCCATAAATAAACTTTTTATTAACGAATAAAAAAACAACAAAATAATCATTTCTCAAATATATACCATCTAAAGCAATAATGTAATCGTGATTTTAACCCAGATCTCTACTAAAGGAATAGATTGTTATTTATAAGTGACCAACTAAATGTTTTTTACCCTGATATTTACGTTTTCGTAAAAATAATTCAAGCAATCCGCAGTTTGCAAATGTAAATATTAGAATTAGGAAGATTTAATTGGTCTATATATACAATATACACATTTTTTTTTCAGACTCTACCTTTAGTTTTCTTAAACCGCCGTTACAGGTTTACTTCTCATGGAGAGCCATAACCTGAAAAGAAAAAAGAAAAAATTAACTCAACATAATTTTGTAATGAATCGTAATAATTAAAAGAAAACAACAGTTTAATTAAAGTGAAAAAGACAAAACGTAGTATTAACAAATGATTAATGTATTGTTTTGTAACATATTTTTAACATCCCTATATATAGACAAACAAAAAAAGTAATATTCTTATTTTATATATATAATATTATATTTTTCGTTTTACGATAAATATGTTGATTGTGTTCCATAATCAATTTTTGTATACAGGGTGTTTCAGGGTTGAGTAGCCAAACTATACAAATAAACTAAGGACTTCCAAACAAGAGAAAAAAAATGCCCTGAAGGTATGCCCGCAAACGCGTTGTTAAAGAGATATTCACTGCTAAAGATTTTCATTGTTATGAATTAATTACGTTATAAAAAATAAATAAAACCTATTTATTTGTTCTAACTACTTTATTAATTAAATGTAAACATTAACATTCATATTAATTGTTGTTCAAAGAGATTTCCTAAGCATTAAGACAAGCTCGGCATCTTACTTCAACGTCAACAGTGGCATAAAGGCACTGGATATGAATTATTGTTTCACAAGACTCAATCATCCTTCTTCGTTCGAAATTAAGGCCATTGACCGGACAAGCATAGACTTTTTGTTTAATGTCACCCCAAATAAAAAAAATCAGTGGCGTCAGATCTGGAGAGCGTGCAGGCCAAGCCTCTGGTCCTGCACGGCCAATCCATTGATTGGAATATGGGATATGATTGAGCGAGTCCGGTCAATGACCTTAATTTATAATTGAATCTTGTGAAACAATAACAATTATCCAGAGCTTTATTTAAGTTTTATTTATTAGTTACGTTTTATTTATTTTATATAACGTAAATAATTGATAACAATGAAAATTGTTAGGAGTGAATATCTTCTAAACAAAGCGTTTGCGGACATTCCTTCAGAGGAAATTTTTGTCTTGCTTTGAGGTCCTTAGTTTATTTTTGCAGTTAGGCCACTTAATCCTTAAACACCTTGTACAAAATTCTGGCACTTTTTTTTGGTCCATCGCTCCATCGTCAACAAACTGCAGTGTCTGCTTATGATGGTATGGATGAAAGTAGAAAAATTATAAGAAAAACGAAATATTTCATCAGGATTTAAACTACCAACATTATTTAGTGATACAAACGAGCAATAGTAATATAAGTTCAAAACTAGTATTTTGAGGGGGGGGGGAAAGTAAAAGCATCGATACTTTATTTTGTTATTATTCTTCCATAACACGTACAGTGTTTTATTTAAAGCAACAACGACTTTATGTCAACAGAAATATTAGATTTTTTAAAAAGTGATGATACCATACCCCTAACTTCATATTTTAATATTATAGATGCAATGAGCTTTTTTAGTCAAATATAATTTTTTTTTTTTTGGAGCTCCAAGGGATATTTTCACCTGACTGATGCCCCACTGAGTCGATTTGGTGTCCTCAATATCTCCGCATGATTCGGAAACTACTGCCCCCAATCGCCCTGAACAACACCCAAAAGAAGTGAATGACTGGAATCCCTTCAGGTCCACCGTTGAAATCACCGCGGCCATATCCGATACACCGGCCTCAATCAGGTCTTCTCTGCCAGCAGCTGCTGTGACGAGAACGGCTCTAACAGACTTTCAAGTTAGCTACGCTTCGCTGTACGGTACGCGAAACGTGATCATCAAAGGAAGAGGGACATGATGACTTCCTTCTTCCTATATAATATTCAAAAGTCTGATTAAAAATTAGATACGCAAAATTATACATTGATTATGAAAAAAAAAAAACGGAAATGGAGCACTAAAAAATGCAAGTTTTTTTTTATAGTCTTTTACATAATTGTCATTATTTAACTTTAGGATAATAAAGATAAAACATGATTAATAAACGTAATGTCAGTTTCCTTATCAGAATCCATTATTCACTTACGTAATTGCATACAATTACTATGCTATTAGTTTGACAGTTATCTTCCTGTCATTAAACAATAGATTTCTACTCATTCAAAAATAAAATAATACGTAAAAATTAATGACTCGTAATAACAACGTTAGAGAGTAAAATATTTATTAATAGATATATTGACTTGCAGACAAGCGGTAAAACATGACTTTCTTAATGGAATTTAGTCTAAAAAAAATCTTTTTGTTGAGTACAAAGTCAAATCAAGAAGCTTAAGTACTTTAATTACCATTTTTAAATACCCCGACTATTAAATATTTCTTAAATCTTAAATCATGTACTAAAAGGATATAAAAAGAGTAATTATTTTTTAAAATATCTTTCTGAAGAGAATTGAAAGATGCAGTAACAGAAGAGAGCAATAGTAAATATTTTCCATTTATAATCGAGAAAACTTAAAAGGGGGTTAGAAAAGAAAAAAAAACCCAAAGAAAAAAAGTTTTATTTTTTAAACAAACAAAATGGTTAAGTTACAATTGTAAATATTCTTCTAACTTTCAGAAAGCCAGTTGATATTAAGAATCTAGAGTTAAAAAAATATTAAAATCAACATGTTGAGTGAAAAGTTTAAAAGAATTATCATTATGATAATCCTACGACCACCAATGGATCCAGGATTTACTTCTGGGGGAGGGCTTCAGCCCGAAAGAAGGAAACTGACAACCTATATGAAATGGTCTTTAAGTGATTATTGAAGTCCTATTACCTGTAATTAGACGAACAATAATAATTCATAAAACATGTTTATATTTTACCATTTTGAGGAGAGGGGGCTTCAGCCCGAAAGCCCCTCTCCCCCAGTAGATACGCCCATGCCTACGACCAGTAAGCGAGTCCTGGCTTCATCCAAAACCTGCCGGACATCACTCGGTACGGTACCACAGGCAGATCTACTGAGGAGAGAGGGAGGGGGGGGTGAAATATATCCTTATAAAAAAAATGAATTAATTAAATTTAATAGGACTTCAAAAATCACTTAAACGCCATTTCTTGTAGGTAGTTAGTTTATTTTCCTTTCTTTCAAAGTAATTATCATTATAAATAGAGAGAGAAAAAAGCTTTCGGGCTGAAGCCCCCCAAAATTAATTCCTGGATCCGCTAGAGATCGGCACGCAATTATACCATCCCAATCTTGGTCTGATGACGTACTTGAGAGAGTGTTTGCCATCAACACAATTGGAATAGCATGAATATATAAACATGTGATGAACCAGAACCCAATGAAGTCGATTTCAAAAAAGTGATTTTTGAGAACAAAACACACGGGAACATGGCGTGCGAAATTTTCGGGTACTGGAACTGAGATTTGAAATACTAATTTTTGAAGGCCTAAACTAAGATAAAAAGGAATAAATCCGATGGAAATTTCACTTTATTCAAGAATATTATATAAACTTAAAATTACTAGAAAATACTGTTTAAATTAAAAATAGTTTTATGAAATATCATGGAAGTGCAGACAAATAATTCTAGTCAGTGGAACAGACCCTTTTTATCTAATTATTAACATCCGGCTGAAACTTCGTAAATAGCTTCTTCTCATAGTAACCTACAAATATTTTATTTACGAAAATTCTCGGAATTGTGTCGTTTTCAATCGGGAGGTCGGTAAATCTTGTCTATTTAATTAAGTGCTAAAAACTCGTAAATACCCGTTTCTTTTCCACTTGAATCGAAAGATAACTTGAGCACAAAGACAAGAAAAAAGGTAGCCTTCAAAATTCAAAAATATTGAGTCGTTTGAGGTGACCAAATTGTCAAAATAACGAGGTTACATAGGCCCAATTGCTCAATGTTTTTTAAGGCCTCACTTTTTCTTGACTTTGTTTTCAAGTTATCTTACGATTCAAGAGGAAACTTAATGAGTATTTATGAGTTTTTAGTACTTAATTAAATAGACAAAGTTTGGCGACCTCCAGAATGAAAACGCCCCAATTCCGAGAATTTTCGTAAATAAAATATTTGTAGGTTACGATGAGATGAAACTATTCACGAAGTTTCATTCGGATGTTAATGATTTGATAAAAAGGGGTTTGTACAATGGATTATTCACTACAATCGGGTAATGTACTAAACTGTAATACATTAGTATATCCGGAGTTAATATTACTCAAATTGATCAAAAAACATTAACTTAACTAGGAGGATACAGTTTCATTTTCGATGTGCGAACAATGACTAGCAACACATTTTTTACTCACAGCTATACAAAGAATATTAGCGAACATCTGCCTCTATCATTACAGCAGACCGGAAATCCTGCCGTGAGTGATTCAACAGGCGATCAGGGTGGTTAATGCAATGCAAGGATGAATGAAAACTATATTACGTCGTGATCAAGCCATCTTGTGCACTTCTTGAATGGCATCATATGAGAAACAATGACAGTGCAGTAGCCTTGACGCTTTGCGAAATCATCGCACTACTTGACCGATTCATGAATACGGCCATTGTTCATGTTTTATGGAAGGTGGTGTGGTCAACATCCTGCTTGAAACAAAATATACCTTACTACGAAGGATACTTGTGTCGAAAGCCTTATAACATTTAGGAGCCACCTTTGTTTATTCTCTTAACCAGTATGATTCACTAGGACACTCGCTCGCCTTCCTAACAGGACACTATGTCTACTTGAATAGCCACCATCTGTGACCGATAAGTCAGACTATATCGGTGCATGAAGAAAAAACATACCTTCAAGTGGGGAAGTACAAATATAGACGAGCCCTTGCCGCGCAACATGTGCTCCTTCTGGTCTCTCCATTGATAATACTAGAAAGATTAAACATCTGACGAATTTGAGTTATTGGAAGTCTTCATGGGCTCAATTCTTTTTGTTTTCATGAAGGTGAGAAACTTCAATGACAACATAAGAACTCCACACTAATAGAACAGAAAGAAATCTCAGTGCACGAAATAGAAAAAAATAAAGAAAAAACGTGAGGGCAGGACAGTTAATGGAGGACCTAGTGAGCGACAACGTATTTATTTTTTGCTGTCTTCCCTCTC